GTCTCTCTCTCTCTCTCTCTCTCTCTCTCTCTCTCTCTCTCTCTCTCTCTCTCTCTCTCTCTCTCTCTCTCTCTCTCTCTCTCTCTCTCTCTCTCTCTCTCTCTCTCTCTCTCTCTCTCTCTCTCTCTCTCTCTCTCTCTCTCTCTCTCTCTCTCTTCCTTCTTGGTGTGCATCGTCTACTTGCTTTTCGGTGCTTCTATATGTACGTTACGTGAAGACAAACATTTGCTCCCTTTTGAATTGACAATTAGCAGAGGTTTTTGCTTCTTCTTTATCGTTGATTTAGCATAGGAATTTGAACCGTGTGAAGTTATTACATGCCAAAAAAATCTTTTCTGAAAGCTAATCTATATTATGCTCGAGAATGGATGACTTTTGAGGTAGCTGCAGAATTTATTTCAAGTATCGGAGAAAGTATGCGAACCTTGCTGATTCTCTCTGTAGTGGTTTCTTACAGACACATTCTTTAGTTGTGTGCTTGTAGATTTGTGTTCCTATTGTGGAACTAAAGAGTTTCTTGGTGTGTAAACTTTTTTTTTTTTTTAATTGGTTACTGATTTTTCTGAGTGTCTTGAGGATGCTGATTGTACGGAGAATCGAATACGAGAACAAATTTGAGATAAAATAGATGGCTTTAATGTTACGCCTTTGTCGCTTTTCCCACTATTTGATTCTCCTTTTACATGTTCTTGCGTATAAAGTTAGCTTTTAGTTTCTTCATTGTAGTGTGAGATTGATTTAACTATGTATGGTCAAAACATAGTTGGTAAATATTTCGAGTAAAAAAAAAAAAAGATTTCAAAGCATCTACAGTCATTAACAGTTAACACTAAAAAAACCGCCAACCGACAGATTGAAAAACCGTGCAACATATGCTGTTTTGAAGTATCATTCATGCCCTTAAAATAATTATCACGACTAATATAGGCAAATTCAATAATCGTAACGGAACGTCATTTATAATAATCATGATACCCGATATTCAAACCGAGCACATAGTTTGCAGGTAAAAAATTGTAGATTTTTGTATTATTTATTACATGCATGCGAATGAAAGCCTAGTGTTACATCACAAGGCAAATATGCCGCCTCTTCCATAGCAAGAAACATTAATCGGAAATAGTACAACCTAGTTTAAACGATGCAAAAATGTGATGTTCGAAGACATGGTAATAAAAAATTCAGCACGATGGACGAATTCCAATTCAGTTGTCATGAACGAATGCGATTCCCTTTTCGATCGAACTTTTCAACTCGGGTTTGAGAGCTTCCAAGCCTTGTTGCTCAAAATCAGATAGAGTACCCAATCCCAAGACTTCCTCCACACCATTCTTCCCAAGTCTCACCTGTTATTACCGTAAGAAAAGAACGACTGTTATAAACAATTTATTCCAACATTATGAACGAAACAGCAAAACTGGTCTATTTTGTGTCTCTCTCTATTTTCTCGCACAAAAGGAATTTTTAACACACCTTTGATGCAAAGAAAGGTAGATCGGTCACAGTAGATTGCACGTACGAGCATTCCACTACATCTGGGACTCCATTAAGTCCCTTCAAGCAAGCATCAGCGAATATGGCACCTGCATAACTGCACAATTACGAGTGTAAGTTAGATCAACTGCAATATTCAGAAATACAATCCGCTACAAACCAGAGGTGGCATCTTTATATCGTACCACCAAACTTACTTTCGAGGATATTCAAACGATAAGAGGAATTTTATATCGTAATAGCTACTCGTGAATTAGATTAAGCTAATAGACCAAGTAACCATTTATTAACTGCCATTCTGAAAAGATATTAGTCGGACGATTTGAAATGAAGTAGAAATCCATCACTTACGCCATAGAAAGTGTGGCTGAACCTTTTCCAGCCTTAGCTTCAACGACTTCCGTCCCGCCCTCTTGTGTTCTCTTTGTAAGAGCCCTAATTTCTTCGTCTGACAGGTTTCCACTTGGTGTGGCCTATATCAAGAGAGTCAACGTAAGCGCTATCTATACCACTAATGTAATATTTAATGCCGGCAAATAAAGAATACGCAATGTGAATCCATAAAAATAATTCGTTCGCCGTACTTGTGAAAACAAAGGTAGAATAGTGAGTCCAGCATGCCCGCCAATCACAGGTACATGTACACCTGCTAGAAAAAAAGTCGAAACAATTTTAGGCAAACGCACAAATCTCAGATCTAAAATTGTAACCGTAAGTTAACAAACACAAATTATACAAGCGTACCAGCTACATTGACTTTCGCCTTGCCAGCATAGAATGTTCTGGCCCTAACCACATCAAGAGTGGTCACACCAAACAGTTTCTTCTCGTCGTATACCCCTCCCAGCTTGAAGACTTCGGCAGCAATTGGTACAGTTGAGTATACAGGGTTGCTAATCATGTTGACAATAGCCTCTATTTTTCGAAAGATCGC